ATGCCGGTGGGTGTGGGGAATTTGAGACAGAGGTGCCTCATAGAGATGACGGACTCCAAGTCCTCGAGGGCAGGCCGGCCGAGGATGATGTTGTGCGCGCAGTCAAGGTTGACGACAACGAATTCCACTTCGAGCTTGGCTCTATGGGATCCGTCGCCGAATTCAACCATGAGGGTGATGACGCCCTCGGCGTCTATGCTGTCCCCCGTAAATCCGGAGAGGGGGTGTTGATGTGTCGAAGGGACCCCCTGTCGAGTCCCAACTCTTGGAAAGTGCTGAGATACATGACGTTGACAGAACTCCCCGTGTCGACATAAGTCCGGTGGATGATGGCGTCATTGATCCCAGTGCGGATGACGAGGGCATCCCTATGTGGCAGAGAACCCGAGGGGAGGTCCGCATCTGTAAAGAAGATTGGATCCGCCCTCGGCCTTTTAGTAGGGGGCATGTGGTTGACTTCCCCAACGTAAAGGGATTGAGCCCACTTCTTTCGCTGGCTGGTGGAGTCTCCACCAGTGTTGCCACCATTAATCATGTGGACGTGGCGCTTGTATTGTTGATGGGAGCCTTCCCCCTCATCTTCGAGGCCCCCAATTTCTCGCTTCTTCCCCTGCGGGTTCCCCAAGGGGATGGTGTTGGGGTTCACCCACTTGTTTTCCTTTGGTGGCGGCCCTTGATGGTGAAGGGGGCCCTGGGGAGGAGGGCCCCTGATAAATTGAGACAAGTGGCCCGCCTGTATCAGCCTCTCGATGGCGTTCTTCAGCTGATGGCAGTCGTCGGTCTTGTGTCCATGGTGTCGGTGGAAGCGGCAATAGGGCTCATCGGGGCCGATGGCATAAATTTCGAGGGGTGTCCGGGAGTCTCGCTCCACGAGCCCTCGCTCTTCTGCATGATCGAGAATGACGCTGACAGGATGCGTCAAGGGAGTGCGTGGGTGCTCAAGGAGGACGGGTTGCGCCCATGCCTTCGGGTTGTTTTTGTAACTGCCCCCGGGTCTGGCTTGGCCACCTCGGGAGCGATCATTGTAATGGGGCTCTCGGTTGGCCGGAGGGGGAGGCCCTCAGGGCCGATTCCTGCCCTCATTCTTCTGAGAAGGATCCATGTTGCGGCGGTCCTTCTCGATCTCCTCCGCTTCGGCATATCGGTCCCCCCGCTGAAGGGCCTTTGTATAATCGCGGGGGGGATCAGTGATAAGGCTCCGGGAGAAGTTACCGTTGCGGAGGACGGTGTGGAAGAGGGCCATCAGGGTTCTGTCATCAGCACCCTCGACCTCGAGGGAGGCCTGCCTCCAGCGTTCCAGGAAACTCCGACGGGTTTCCTCCTTCTGTTGCCTCACATTCAGAAGATGGGAGAAGTGTTTCTTTGAGCGGTGCCTCCCGGCAAACTGCGTGAGGAAGCGGTGTGCAAGTTCTTGCCAAGAATCAATGCTGCCTTCGGGCAACCGGTTGAACCACTCATATGCTGGTCCCTCCAGTGTGGAAAGGAACCAACGGCATAAGTATTCATCCGAGGCCCCCATCATCATCATGCTATTTTGATAGCGGCTGTAGTGTTCTTGGGGATCCGTCTTCCCCTCATACGGTTTGATAGGTTGCCCCCGGTATTTATGGGGGATTTTGGCCGCCAACACCCTCGGTGTGAAGGGTGTTCTTGTGCGGAGTTGGATGAGGGGCTCGCCGGAGCCTTCGGCGAGCTTACGTTTCATCTCCTCCACTTGCGCCCGGAGGTCAGCGTACTCTGGGTCTGGCCTTGCTGTGGAAGCCGTCGGGGGGGCCTGACGATTCTCCTCAAGTTGACGGAGGAGGGCTTCGATGATTTCGTCCTTAGGATCCTTCGGGGCCACCCCTTGGGAGTTGGCCCGGATGGATTGCGCCTGATTGATCTGGTGTCTGGCGTCATCGGCGTGGAGGAGGGCTTTGCCCTTGCTCCTGGGTGGAGGTATGCCCTCGGCTCCCGAAGCGGAGGCTCCACTCTCCTGAGGCCTGCTGAATTCCTGTTTGCCGAGGCGGTCTTGGACCCCTCGGCGTATGGGAGCTCCCCCAAGCCTCTCAAGTGCAGAGGTCCGGGGTTTTTCCTTCATCAAGGGACGTTTATCCCTGGATTGGGCCTCTTGGGAGGCGGTGTCCTGCGCCATGACCCCTTCGGCGTTCCCAATCCCCGGGGGAGGATTGTTGAACAGAGGAGGGAGCGGTGGTAATTGGATAACATTCCCTCCGGCGTAGGGCTGGAGGGGTGCCTGAGAGGCGAGGGCTCCGGAATTGAGAGCCATGTTCTGAACAAAGGCCGCAAAGGCAGCCTGAAGATCGATGGCTGGGGCCGGAGGGGGAACTTGGTTCTCACTCCGATCCCTCCTTCGATTATCAAGGCCAATGCGGGCATCAGGGGTGTTCTTCTGCAGCTGTTGACGTAGGTCAGCGGTGGCTTGCTCTAATTCGAGGATGACACCACCCTCGGGTACTAAGAGCCTGTTGGAGGCCTCAGCCCCGTTAGTTTCGCCGGGGGCTACGTAGTTTTCCTCAAGGGTCTTGGATTGGGCACGGGTGGTTCTTCCCATTTTTGGTAAGGGTTAGTGTTTGGTAGAGGGGGAGGGTTTCTTACTTGATTTGTTCTGAGCCTCTCAACGAGAGCACCAAATGATGGACAGTCTACCCGGGGGGTATCTTATCCGAAGGGTTATTGCGGAAATAACTAGAGAGAAGTCAGAGGAAATAGGAGGAGAGAGAGTCGATTTCATTAAATGAACTCGAGACGTGGAGTTGAAATGTAGGGTGTTCTTTACAAGGAGAAATGGGCTGCTATTTATAGCAGCAATAAATGCGATGAGAGGACACGTGTCAGTAATCCAACGGCCGAAGGGTCACATCAGCCTGGTGGCACCGGCAGTGGTACGTCAACCGCATTGAATGCGGTTGGCGGATGCGACGTGGCATTAAATGCGGTGGTTGGCTGTCTCTAAAAGGAATTTTCGATGATTGAGCTAGTTCAGCCGAAGGCTCCCGGTGTAGCCGAGGGCTCCATGTGGTGAGGACCCTCGTACGGCCGAAGGCCCCGTGTGACCGAAGGCGTAACAATGCCGAGGGCATAACAATGCCGAAGGCTCATGTTTTCGCCCGTTTTCTCCCAGTAGCTTCCTATGCCGAAAAGGCTATGCTGTGAGTTCTGGAGCCTTCGGCCAAGGAGGCCGAAGGCACCCCAGTGTGTATTCTGGGCCACTTTGAGGCTTGGGCCGTCGTATTTGGGCCTGAGTTGTTTCCTGAGCTCAATGGACTAGTGTAGGAGAAATAGGAGTCTATGGGCCGGGGGTTCCTGGGCCATATACTCCATCAGTGGTATAAAATTAAGGAGTTTAATTGTAAAGTTTTCTTAGGATCCAAACTAACTCAAAGAAATCTTAATGACTCTTAGCCTTGAGATAATTTAAATAAGAGAGCAAATTCAAAACATCTAGATTGATAATGAACTTCTTCCATTAAAATCGAGATGATAATCCCGTTACCCAGGGTTTTGATCCTTGAATCTCCCCAAACTTAAATCGGTCTCATTCCAATGCATTTCTGTATATCATGTGTAATCGATTGTGCTCGTGAGGAACTGCCTCTTATTGATCTTCATTTACCTTTTCATATACTTTTTCATATACCGGATAGTGATCGATCGATCCTCTGTGATGACATTGCAGGATAATAGAGGAGATTTCATATCGAGTGAAGTTGATGAGGTGTGTATCGATGACATCGAGGCGAAGCTACTTCCATCGATGACTGGAGGAAGAAAGTAGTTCCAGCGTAGCACCACCGAGAGCGAGAGATAGACGATAGCCGGAATAACACAACCCCGTCCTCCATCTCCATCATGAATTCAACGAACCCAACTTTTCATTTTGTGGGAACGTAGGGATTTGGGTTTAGATTTAACGGATGGATTATTTTTGAAATTAAAACTTTAAAAGTGAAAAGTGATAAGTTTAAAGATGATAAGATAATAAAGTGGTGACATAAATGAAATGTGTTAACGAAAACTGCCGGGATATTTCCACTATATTATTATTATTAGCCTATAAGGGGGAGAAAAAAGAGTTGGGCTAATCGTTCATTGTGCATTTGTGCATAATTGAAAGGAAAATTTAAATGGAAACGGGGAATACTTGGCAAAGAAAGATAGCTTCGATATATTTGATCAAAATAAAAATGCTTCCTTTTGGATTATATACCTATCTTTTTGTATATCACACTTTGTTTTTTGCTTCAATTATCACAATCCATTATTCATATTCTTTGCATCTTCAATAGTTCAATACTCTTTAACATGGGTCAAATGCTGCTACAAATGACACCGAGTTGCTTCCCAAGACCTTGTTATGTACGGAGTATTTCATTGTGTGACATATATTATGATCATATTCACATGTATGATTCCAATTGTAGCACGTTTAAGAAAAATGTAGTACACGCGCTATGAGATATAGTGAATAATTAGACTCCTACTTTTGGGAAGCAGACCTCTTTTAAAATAAAAATCATACTGCATACGTTGAAGGATGATTGATCTCCATCATTGTTTTAAATCCATTTGATGTATGGCAGTATGGGTGAACAATTTCCAGTTCTGACATCAGACCAGATTAAATAGGTTGAGTGAAATAATTAACCACTTGTTCTGTTCCGTGTTCGAACCAATTCCTCCAATATAGAATCATAACATGAACTTATTTTACTTGAAAGGTTTTGACTCCACTCTTACTGAGAATTGAACCCAAATTAGCAGAAGTCCAGCTCATTGAAGTTCTCACGTTTAAATTTATATATGTACTAGTATGTCTTTAGTTACTATATTTCACCTAAATCATTATATATAGACAACTTCACTGAATGGATGATGAATGTATTTTTGTATTCTTGTATTTGACGCTATAGATGAGTTTTTATTTGATCACACACATTAATGGACTGTTTTTAAACATAATTTAAAAAACAATCCGTGTATTTCTAGAGACTGATGCATTATACGAAGTAACTAATTCATGATATTAGCTTTTGCAACTTAATCGGTATCAAATTATACTTTGTGCGGTATTTGTAAACATCTCTGCGTCTATGTCGAGCATCATGATTGTACAATATTGACTCATACTTTATCACTAGGACTCAGAGCCAAATCATACCCTTTCCCTCTGCAATCTTATATAGTTAAGAGACTGCTTAAAGGGTATCTCCAATCTGTATATCAGATCTTCATGCAAAATACCCCTTACATTTTTCCATTCTTGATAACATCACCATCATATAGTCTTTGGTGTTCATTCTGTGATGGCAAAACAGAGCTTGGCCTCATCCCAGGGACCGTTAATCTCAAACTTGTACTCTTGAAGTCGTATCAGCCAATAAGGGCAGACCAAATTGACAAAGACAAACACAGCCAACAACAAAATAAAGAGCAGTGTGTGCAACCAGTAAAGGAGAACTAAGGACAAGACCATTAACCCGAAAGAGAGAAAAACGTGCAATTTGAATGAGAACTTCTTCACACAGTAGGTGACAAATGGGGCAAATAGAAAAACTTGCAAGGAGAACAACACAATGGCAAATACATGAAGCCTTGATGGAAGGCGAGAGGCAATTAGAAGTGAAGCCACTATAGAAGCATTCAAAGAGATGTTGCTCATAAGGGTTGGGTTTTCTTGACTTCCAGGAGCTTTTACGGTTGATCCCGAGTAATTATGCAGGAAGAGGTTTATAATGAGGAGACAAGCTGTTAGTGCCCATATAGAATCTGAGGCTATGGATCGGGTGAGTGTATGGAAGATAGGAGACAACATGTACAACCCAGTCATGAAAAATGAAATCTTGAGGGTATAACTGAGAAGAATATTAAAGGAGATTGAGTCTGCAGTCAAGAGAAGAATGAAAAAACCCAACCCAAGAAGGCTAACATTTAGAACTAAAAGTGAATTTTCATTCAAGGTAGATCGGAGTGTATAGGTCCAAACCAAAACCACAAGACAAACAGTGGAAATATACTGAGAAATGGAAACTGAATCAAGGATCACCTTTAGCAAGTCTCTTTTGACCACATTGGCGTTCATAATCATATCTTCTAGGAAAGATTCATCTGTATGATTGTCATCAAAACCAGGTTGCATCCCCCCATAAGCAACTTTCCTCCATTTAGGTTTTGTTGGAGAAGAGTTTTCAATCATTGTACTTTCCATCTATGTCATATAACTTGAGAAGAGAACATATGTAAGCCATCATTGGAAGGATTATCAAGACTTCAGCAGTGAAGGACGCAACAACATTTTAATCATAATGTCACCATTCACCAATGCATATCTTCTGCACAGCTGCACTGGTTATAATGGTTTTACTAAATCAGGTACAACTTTACGGAATCAACTATTTAAGCAAAGTCAGGTACATTTCATCTAAGCATTTCACCGAACTTACGGGCCAAAAGAAGGAATTTAAAAACTAATACACATAGTTTTCATGCTTGTGCTGATATTGAGGATGTTTTAAGGCATGCTATAAACTCCGGATTTCACACCTAGAGACAAATCTATCTAGAGCACAAAGCACAAAAAGTGGCAAGAAGGGGGTTTCCTAGAAAAAAGTGCTGAGTCAAGTGTCTCGTTCTCGCAATAAGCAACAATTGTGGACAAACTATATATGGTGCAAATTCAAGGCAGAAACACTGCATAATTTTAGAAGTCATAGCAGCAAATCATTGATGTGGCTGGTCTAATAATTGTATTTTGGTTGTTCAAAATTACTTTAAAATTAGAATATTCACAATAATCCTGGGTGATGCAATAATTCCACGATTGTATCTTTATCAAAAAAGAATCAGAGTACACATTTTCTTAAACAAGAGTACAATTTAAACAGTACACATTAATAACTAATTTGATAGATCAAACTTCAAAGTACAACTTTCTTAAACAAGACAACAAAAGCTAGCTAATAATTAATCAGTGTCATCAGATTATAAATTTGAAAATTAACATAGAAAATTGAAATTACCTTTAAAAAAGATCAAGTGAAAAATTATAAACTGAGAAAGGTGAGAAATTAAGCAGATGAAAACTGGAAATCTCAGACAGCTTACCTCGATTCATTCGTTGGTTAGAAGGCAGAGCGGACAAGCAGCGGCAGTGGCGGCGAGGTGCGAAAGTGTGACAATGCCAGGCTGCCGAGTGCCGACTGGTGAGCAGGTGAAGCGGAGTTGGACTTCAGAAAATCACTGATTCAGAAAAGGGAAATTCTATTCACAGCCCACTTTTTACTAAACACAGCCACTAAATTAAATAAAAATAATTAAAAACAAATCAAATATCTAAATTACCCTTAATGATATTTAACGATCGCTTAAGTGATCGACTAATCCTTGTTGCTCGAAGGCTTAGCACAAAGCTGAAACACAAAAACGCAGACCGAAGACCTGGGGATTTACGCAGGTCCAAATTACGGAGTATATTTTAGTGCTCCAAAACTTTGATCTTTTCAAGACAATTCTTCATCTGCTGCTCCACATCTCCATTAAGATTGCTTCCACCTAGCAACTAATAGTGCTCAAACTTTGACATTTCACACTTCAAATCAACATTTTTGCAGGCCTTGATACTTCCTACGGAGTATTATATTATCATCACAAAATAAGAGTGCAGGTGATATGAAAAATCCTACATCGTTATGAGAGTGAAATAGAGGAGTTGTTGAGCTTACCATCAGATCCAATAAGTTGAATACCACCTGGCAGTTCCCTATATTCCTAATTAAGGTAAGTGTAGCCCAATTTTTTTATAATCTTCCCTGGATGCTCTGATGATGATGATAACTTTTGTTACAAGGTTGACATACTTCACTACACCAAAAGATGAAGCATTGACAAAACTGATTTTAAATTCAGGACATAAAAAAATAGATGAAAACAGGTATCAGTTTAGGAATGGAATGATTAAAACTTTCAATCTAAGACTTCAAAAATCATGAATTGCTTTTCACTTTTTATTTGTTTGAATGAGTTCTTTATTAAATTTAATATAAAACCCATGAATCAATTTCCTTTGAAAATTTTAAACTAAAAAGAGTAAACAATTCATGATAGTTACAAGTCTTGGATTGATAGTCTTCAATCATAGAGATCCTAAAATGATACGGAGTAGTTTCTCTTTCACGTGGTCCTGTACTGATATAGAACCTACCTTTGGGGTCTTGAATCGACAGAACTCCAATAAATGAATAATGTACACCCCCTAAGTTACAAAGTACCCTATTCTTTACCATAAGTAAAGCGCTAACAAACAGGGAACATCACTCAAATACTATGGTGATAAGTGAAAATCAGAAATATATATCCTGTTCCACTTACCTTGAAATGAGTTGAGCGAAGAGGCTAGACCACACTCTCCAAATTTCACAAGAATGCTATCTTTCACAAGATTTTGAGAGATTGAATTGTGTGATTATAATAGGGTCCTTTCCCTGTTTCCCACACTATTTTTATTTGGATCCAAAAATACTTCCATCATCATGTATCTATTCTTGAACCCCCACCATGCTGAGCTCACAATCTAGCAAGCTACAAATAATAATGAAAAAGGATAAGCATAGTGAAACTGCAGTATGCGGCAAAGACAAGTACCTAGATATAACCAGTAGTCACTTCAATATCATCAAAACGATGAACGTATGAAACTGTTCTTAGTACAGAATGGAAATACAAAAAACTATGCCACTGGGTAATTTATGGGTAAAGATGCTTAGTTCACAGCTAGTTAGAGAAGAAAGAATCAATGCATTAGTGAAATTAGACGAAATAATCAATTAATTAGTGAAATATTGAAAATAGAAATTAAATAAACTTAGACAGATATATCAACTAATTATTGAGATAGAGCTTGTTGCAGTAGAATTTAGGGTCAAGACAAGGGAACCTGGCGACCTGATAAAGAGGATATGAATAATCAACTGGAACCAGCGATACTTATGACAGATGTAGCGGCGTCGGAGGCGGGGCAGAGGCACAACAGAGACATTGGCTGCGTTGGAATCACAATAGCCAGCAGCACATCAAGTGGCGAGGGCTTTGTACGATCATCTTGCTCCGGAGTTGGAAGCACAGCAGTGCAATGGTAGCTGCGTCAAAGGTGGTGGCGTGGAGGTAGCTCGACTTTCAGATTTGGTGTCTTTTCATAGATATGGAAACGATCTGGCTTCCTTGCTCCTCCTTTAGGAAAGTTAGCCGACAGACGGAAGGAGGAGCTGATGTTCTACGGAAATAGATGTGCGTTAAATAATGAGGGTAAATGGAATTATGAAATTAAACGAAAATGGGTAGATAGCAAAACGGGGCTGTGAATAGAATTGCCCTTCACAAAATACCGATATCACAAACAGAGCCCATATTTCGGTTCATAGAAAATTATAAGCCCAACCGAACCAATTAATACGGATTATCGTGGATATTTTTTATCCGTGGATTTAAAAAAGAGGTAATTTGTGTTTGCATCACATATTATTGTCTAATATGGGGTTGAGGTGCAAAAACAAAGAGTTTTTAAAACGGGATGCACAGTCCAATTTAGATAATAATATGGGGTGCAAACTCAAGTTACTCCTTTAAAAAAATCATGGATTCTAAAATAAATACTCCATCTGCCCTTCAATACTTTGTCAAGTTTGATCGAGATGGGGCTTAATAAAGTAAAATTTGCGTGGTTTGGCTTTGTGAAGAGGAGAAATAATTAATTGGAATCACAAATTTTTTACTTAAAAAGGAAAGTGATAAAGTTAGTAAGACATCCAAAAAGGAAAGTTTACAAAGTTATAAGAGACTGGGGGAGTAGATTTTTAATCTATGAACTTTTAAGTCCATAGACTTTTAAAATGAACCATTTTTAATTTCATAGACTTTTAAGTCTAGGGACTTTTAAAATGAATGATTTTTGAATGAACGACTTCTATAGATATAAATAAATCTATAGACTTTTATATGGATATAAAAGCTTATGAATCGTCGGTCCCAATCGGGCCGGAACCAGGCCCAACACTATATGGGAACAATTTGCGACCAATTTTTCAATCCCAGTCTAGGACGACGTTCCCCGCCTCAATGTTCGTTACCCTATCCCGGATTCTATTTTTTGGGACCACGACCGGCCGGTCTCGATCTGGGAACGGACCAGGTCGATGCAAATGTGAAAGACATTAATAAACTCATTAAAATACAAAATCTCACGCGACAAACATAATAATGTTCTCTAATAAAAATGAGGTCAAGTATTGTATAATAAAAAAATAATAATGACATCAATGCATACAATTGAAACAAAAGTCGTGTGCTACTGAAACCTATGGATCAAAATTATTCATTTTCAGCAGTTGTCCAGATTTGAGTAGCAATATTCATTCTCCATTCGTTGACCTTTTCCCTTTGTTGATCTTGTGGGCATAGATCATCCCATTCAAAATTATCCTAATTATAGAAAGATGGATCTTCTTCAGAGTCCGGAGAAATTCATGAGATCAACATTCCTATTGAAGAAAATTATGTACTCCTGCATATGCCAAAATTAGTAATAGAAAAATAAAAAAAAGTTATCTCAATTAATTTTTTGGGTTCCCTCCTTAATTGAGAAGTTAATGAGAACTCTAGAATACCGCAAAGATTTCTAGAATTATGTAGATGTGTAGAGAAGTATTAAATGTTCTAGAATATTCTAGAGATTCCTACAAAAGTGTGGAATTATTTAGAAGCGTGTGGAAGAGTGTATAATATTCTAGAACATTGTGGAGTTTGGTGCTAGGCAGCCTCCTCAAGGTGCTAGCTCATCCCCTAACCCACCATATGTAAACAGTCCCTAGAAGAGTTGTTTTCCGGCGAGTTCACTTCCTAACCTTCCAATGTTTGTTCTAGGTTGGTATCTAACATTTACATACATAAAATAACCTTTTAAAGAACATAGTCTACACTTTAATAGTGTATAATACTCTCCTTAATCGCTCATATGATTTAGATAATGAAAATAAAGGTTTTGGATTCAAGCTTACACCAAAGAGGAAAAACGGTTTTGTGTGTTTGCATCTGTCATCCCAAATTTGGATATCTTCCTCTATTCCTTTCGTAGCAAGCTGCACCTTCACAGAGTCATCGTCTTGAGAGATTTCTTTAAACATCTCGCTCCTAATTTGGGTAAGTGATGCTCGAGATATGGAATGAACAATCAACCTACGCACTAATATGAATTTTGCGGACAATTTTCTTTTTTACTTGCTCTCGTTGATTTGTGTAGCTATATTCCTCTCTAAGCTTTGGGAGCTCGTATGGGAGGTTGTGGGAATGCTCTAAGACCTCTCGATAAGGTGGGAAAGTTGAGTGGTGTTGAAAGAATGGGCATAGGGCTTGGTTAGTAACATATCTCAATCAAGGATGGGGTAAGCCCTTTGTTTGTCTCAAAGGTCATGTGCAGCCCCCTTATTCCATTATGTTCGCCCCCCTCCTCCATTTCTCGCTTATTTCCTTTGTATTTTAGGTACTCAAGTCATGTGGGATGTGATGGGTGTGTCTCGGAAAAACGAAGAAAAATTAATTAAATAAAATTTATTACTCCCTCCGTCCCAATTTGATGGTCTTGTTTCTTTTGGGCACAAAGATTAAGAAAATGTGGTAGAAAGACTAAAAACCCTTACTTTATTGTACTGCTCATCCTTTTACTTTTACTGTTCATTAAAAAAGAGGTGTATAAATGGTAATCCACTTTTAGTTCCTTACCAAAAAGGGAAACAAGACCATCATTTTGGAACATCCCAAAAAGGAAATACAGGACCATCATTTTCGGACGGAGGGAGTAATAAAGTAGCCAAAGAAAAACAAAAAAAGATGGAGCAGAATTTAGTCAAAGCTCGTGTTACGCACAATGTCCTTAAAACGTATTCGTTGCTTCCCTATGTGCTAGGAGCGTTGCAACGGTCGTTTCTCAGGATACGATGACTACGAACAATCGTTGAACACTCAAACGAATTGTTCCAGCGAACGAGAACAAGTATGAACACGAAGGAATTTTTAAGAGAAAGCTGGAGGGTTTTTGAGCTAAAGAGAATGTGCAGTTCATGTATGAATTATGTGTTTGTTACAAACCACTTTCCAGCCTTTTATAGGGAAGATTTGTTGTGTGTTAAATGAGCTGGGGATTTAATGGACATGAACGTTAGACATCAATGTCCAACACGATGACAATGATTCGTCCATATATGTCTGTCCACAACTGCATTAAGGCACAAGAACATTGGACATTTAATTGTTGCAATATCTCAACAGCTGCGTGTTGCGAGTCGTTCAACATGGAGCCCCCCCCCCCCCCCCCCCCCAACGGGGCTGCACCTGGAGCAAAAAGGAACGTTACGGGAAGAAACAAAAATTAAATCTTATCTTTAGGAATCTTAACTCCTTCAAAGAGGGTTCCCTTTATAAGGGTTGAAAATCCATTGGGTTTTCCGATGTTGGATAAATCACACTAGAAACCCATCATTTTCCTAGTTTTCTCTATTTCAACGAGTGAATTTCGAAAATCAATCTCGCATTCACCCGTTATCCATTTTGAGTGTTCCATATATCAAATTGTGGCTCTTAACAAGGGCAATCCGAAACCACTTTGACCCGACTCAAATCGGAAGTGAACCACAGTCAAAATATTGCCCCAAAATGACCATTTAATGCAATTTATTAACACATTTTCCAACAGGATGGCACCCAAGTGATCTCATTTTATTTGCGACAAAATATCTATCAATACTTCCAAGTATGGAAGAATTGGGTCCTATTGTTTTGTACTTTTGTCATATGACATTTTTTTGTGCTCATTCGAATTTATTTAAACAAAGTCAACCCCTACATCATATTATTGGTCTCTAATATGTGTAGGATGGTCCCAATAATTTATATGGTGTACCAATAGTAGGAGAAAACCTTACCCCCTTATTTTAGTTCAATAATGCCAAAGATGGTATCATATGAGTTTGTTTTTGTCTCTAGGTGTTCCCCCACCCCTTTATTCGTATATATCAATTATAATTGTCCTCCTAAACTTTTATTTGGAGTCTATATTAGGTGTGAGATACCCTCAAGTAGTTCTAGGATATCCTTTTCCATCAAACTTGCTATTTTTAGCAAGTTGGACCCAAAGTAACATTTGGGCTGTCCAACCTTCCGTTTAGAAGAGTTATAAATATTCCTTTATATTGTATTGAGCACTTATATATAATACGATGGCCCAATAACGTATTTCAAAACTCATTCCTTATAATATGGGCCCACACGATATCACGATTAATCATTTATCACATAAAGCATTAACTGCTTTACCCATGGTTGATTATAGAGAATTCAATACATCAACTTTAAATTTTAAACCGCAGTTTCAAGTACGTCCTGGTGTGGTGTCATAGGTTTGGTCTGCTTTAATTTGGTCCGTTCCGATTCGGTCTAGTTCGGTATGGGACTGAAATCAATCCATGTAAAAACATAACATCTGTCGACAATTTGGAAGGAATCTTATTATTTTTAATTATAAATGAATAAAAATTAATTATTTACGGATTATAATTGATAGAGTATATGGGCCTGGACCCCATGGCCCACATACCCAAGTCAACGCCGACCCGAAGAACGTCCATGTGGCCCCCTTCGGCGCAGTGGGACCCGCATCGGACAGAAACCAAACTGGCCCAGAACACGAATCTGGACTTCCGGGACCGCGTCGGCCCATGAACCGCATCGGCCATGGGACCGCACCGGCCAAAATGCACCGCATCGACTAGACTTCGTCCTGGCAGAATACATCTCTCTACTTTATTCACTAAGTATTGTACTCGGCCCATTAGTGGCCCTATTTCGCCCAAAGAAGGCATGATTATTGTAATGGCCCCCCTAAGCCCATGGCTAGGAGCCCAAATCCACATTTTTACCTATAAATAGACCCCTTGGGGCTAGTTATATGGGGTTGAGAAATATAATTACTCACTTTCTCTCTCTAGCTCTCACTTCTCTCTAGAATCAATACTCTATCAATAATATATAAATGACATAACATGAAATCTTCATGAAAAAATATTTCCTCCGTCCCATATTTATTTTTGACTGTCCCAAAAAAGTTTGTCATTTCCATTTAAATTAACAAATATTTGGCTAAAACTATTTCTCTCTCCACTGCACGAATCTCATCCACACGATTTTTACTTTATTATTCCACATGCA